AAATTTTTTAATTTTGTTCGATTTTTTTTTTTAATTTACAGTACCCGTCAGGTCTGAGTCCGAGTCGGCCATGTGGGTTAGTGGGTCAGCCGGATCTTGACCGTTGGATCTCAATGGTCAAGATGATCCAAAATTTGACCATTGGCCAACCGTTGTGAAACCGGCGGGCTGGGTCGAAACAGGACCCGGACCATGCAACCGAATTTTAAAAAAAATAATAAATAAATAAATAAACTGACAGTTGGATCTCCACCTGTCAAAAGCTATCAATGGCCCAGATTAGCGGGCTGCCAATGGCCCAATATTCGGGCCACGAATCGGCCCGACACGGTCCACAGATTAAAAAAACTAAGATAAAAAGAACAATATGGTAGGCCGTCTCGAGGGCCAGCCCGGGTCAAAATTTTTATACATGAGGCAAAGTACTGGCCCGGTCAAACTACGGCCTCAGTTCTGGGCCTGTTGACCATAGGCCGATTCAGGGTCGATTCGATTGATGCGGGTTGTACCAGCCCAACATCTTAACCCGTAGTAAGATATTGTCCCTTTGGGTACTCTCTACCTTTCCTGCACGGTTTTGCCTTTGGGAGTTGGCTCACCAAAACGTGTCCTACTAGTGAAGGTATCCACAACCACTTATATGGCATGCTTCGTTCTCCTTCACAACCTATGTGGGATATCTACATCTACCCCCCTCACAAGGGCCCAGCGTCCTCGCTGGCACATGGCCTGGGTACTGGCTCTGATACCACAGTAACAGCCCAGCATCTTAACCCGTAGTAAGATATTGTCCGCTTTGGGTACTTAATTTCTACCTTCCCCGCACGGTTTTGCCTTTGGGAGCTGGCTCACCAAAATGCGTCCTACTAGTGAAGGTATCCACACTAAGACTGAAAATATGTACAAAATATCTACAAAAATACATAATTTGTATATACATCTCAAAATTGAAAATGGGGAAATCGAGCTCTAATGTCAGCTTCGCGCTCCCAAGTAGCATCGGTATATATCTGGACTGGAAATCTATTCCAGTAACTGAAATTGAATCTGTAATCTGGCCGATATCTAATCGGTACATGTGCACACTCTGATGGATATTTCTAAGGCAACTGAGGGCCTCCATCAGAACTTAGGATGTGCTGTTAAGACAACTGGGGGCCTTCATCCTAAGCGTATAAACTGTATACATATCGATGCTACTTGGGAGCGCGAAGCTGACACTAGGGCTCGATTTCCAGATTTTCAATTTTGAGATGTATATACAAATTATGTATCTTTGTAGATATTTTGAGTTTTAAGTTGTACATATTTTCAATCTTAGTATTTCTGAGGACGCTGGGCCCCTGTGAGGGGGGTGGATGTAGATATCCCACATCGGTTGTGAAGGAGAACGAAGCATGTCATATAAGTGGTTGTGGATACCTTCACTAGTAGGACGCGTTTTGGTGAGCCAGCTCCCAAAAGCAAAACCGTGCGGGGAAGGTAGAGAGTACCCAAAGCGGACAATATCTTACTACGGGTTAAGATGTTGGGCTGTTACACGGGTCGAACTGGCAGGCTGGGTCATCCCATCGCCATGACTAGTACTCTGAACCCATAAAATATAATCAGGAACGTACATATAGTACCTCTATTTTGATTCACTAAAAAGTAAGGTTCATTTTGTTTGATCAATAGTCTAAGTGAAGTCCATTCACAACTATCATAATTATCTATAAACAAATAAGGTATTTAATGGTGAAATGGACTTTCACCCGGGCTCCTTCAACTCGAACGTGTCTAAGTGGCCCAAGTTGGGCTTGTTCAATACTATCATGCCACGTGTCCTAGCCCATGTGTAGGTTTATTCATTAATACCGGTCTAGTATAATATCTTATATCATCTAGTCCCACCCACTCTGGTCGAGTAAGCATAACTCGATCCAAGAGTGAAATACCTCTTCGGGTTGTTTCCTTCAACCTGCCACTGTCAACGAAGTCGAGAACTGAATGACCTGCCACTAAGATAGAACACGGAAAGCCTAATAACAGCTGAGGTCGAAAACTGAATGATCCACCTTTGAGGTCAAAAATCGGAAATCGAATGACCACTGAGATCGGAAACCTGAGTGACTGCCGACGAGGTCGAAAATCGAGTGACCGCCAATGAGGTCGAAAACAGAAAACCGAGTGACCGCCGATGAGGTCGAAGACCGAGAAACGAATGACCACTGATGAGGTCAAAAATCGAGAACCGAATGACCACTAATGAGGTCGAAAACCGAGTGACCACCGATGAGGTCGAAAATCAAGTGACCGATGATGAGGTCAAAAACTGAGTGACCACCGATGAGGTCGAAAATTGAGTGACCGCTGATGAGGTCGAAAACCGAGTGACCACCGATGAGGTCAAAAATCGAGAATCGAATGACCACTGGAGAGGTCAAAAATCGAGAACCGAATGACCACTGAAGAGGTCTAAAACTGAGAACCGAATGACCACTGATGAGGTCGAAAATCGAGTGACCACAAATGAGGTCGAAAACCGAGTAACCGCTGATGAGGTCGAAAACTGAAAACCGAGTGACTGCCGATGAGGTCGAAAGCTGAGAACCGAATGACCACTAATGAGGTCGAAAACCGAGTGACCGCCAACGATGTCGAAAACTAAAAACCGAGAACCGAATGACCACTGATGAGGTCAAAAACCGAGTGACCACCGATGAGGTCGAAAATCGTGAACCGAATGACCACTCCCCGAAGTCTTGAATTTAAAAATTTGAACTTACGTCTTGTTGTTTTTCGATCACCATGTTCGAGCTCTCTTCGCTCGAATATAAACCTTTTTGACCACCTCGTCCTGTCGCCCCTCAGTTCAAAATTTAAAATTCAACAATGCTGTCTATCCTCTCGAAAACCAAACGTCCTGACAGCCTCATGTCCAAAAACCGAATTCGACAAAACCAAACCAAATAAAACCATCGATCTAAATAACCTGACTCCGTGAACTGCCCCAAGTGAACTCTCTCTCTCTCTCTCTCTCTTTGAGATGTCGTGTTTTACTGTTTGTTTCCCACACACACTGATGTTATAAGTAGTTTATGATATGTATATAATCCAAAATTTTATTCTACTTATATTAGGATGTATAGCTTTTCCATTACCATTATTATTTTTATGCTTTTTCCATTTATGAACACATTCTTATTCAATTGATTGACAAGTTTTTAAGTCACTAACCTTTGTATTTGTATCATATAATCTACATATACTAAAATCGTTTACTAGAATAATGATTATGATCAGTTTATTATATGTATATGACAAGTTATATACTAAACAAAAATTCAAATATCACAATTATAGTTGGGTAAAAATTCTATGTAAATAAAAAATGCAGTATATACTGAATATATATTGATTATAAAAGCAATATATACTGTCCATTCAAAACACCTGAGAGCTAAAAAACTTTACTGACTATAAACGCAACATATAGTTCGTTGTAGCTGCAATTTTTACGAAATGCAACATATAGTCCGTGGGAAGATGATTTGGCAAAAGTTCATATTCCTGTCACACATGTATTTGAAAGATGATGTAGATTGAAAATCAAATTCTTTTTCTTTCTATTTTGTATTGAAACAACATCCTATTTTATTGGATGTAATCTTACCACATATATGATCATTTTTTTGTTTTGTTTGATAAAAAATTCTCATAATCTGTGCAATTTAAGGGGGAGGCGTTTAAGTTTAAATTTTATTTGGTAACTGAAGATCCCATAATTTGGTGATCTTTGCAATTAATTGACATGGAATTTGTAAAGATGCAAATAAAATTTGCCGCATAGTAAAAGTATAATTATTTTCAAATCACACGGTAAAGGTGAAAATTCACCTAAATAATATTGCTCATATAATCCAAACATGATACACACAACAATATGCCGAGAATCAAAACGCAAGCAAGTTGTACTATAAAACATGGTTTAAAAAATTCAACATTACTTTAATGAACATATGAAGTTTTTTCCTACAAAAATGTGTTCAATCATCTTTAAATATAAACTACTATTTTTACCTCAAGCACATATGGAGGTACTTAATTAATTTACTACTATTTTTAAATATAAGCTATTATATTTAAATAAAGTTTAAAAAAAAAATTGAAGGAACAAGGTCGTCCAAGCATCGCATGGGATGCTCACTAATGCAGTGGAAAAAAAACAAGTTAGAGACTAAACACAAGGTTGATCAGTGAATTAAAAATTTAGTAGCAAATTGTTGCTCTCTTAAAAGCCACATCATAGAGAAGCTTATGAAATAAGTTTCAACTTATTAAGAAAGTGTTTCCTACAAAATTAAATTTATTTGAATACAAATTTATACAGTAACTAAACTATAAAAGCTAAATTTCAAAATTCAAGCGGTTCTAACAGACTTTTTAGGTGTTGTTGGATGAATCGTTCAAATGGAAGAATTCGACCCCCTCTTTGAGGTGTTTTTGGACATTAGGAAACTCTTATCACTTCTAGATTGCAGTAAGTGCGAACACACCCCCTAGTGAAGAACCAGGTGGCTCATAAAATTGCGAATTGGACGGTAGTGTCACATTTTTCTTGCTTTTGGAATGACTCTCCTCTTGTATTTTCATCTTTTTTCATAGATGTACTGAACTCTTAATTTGCTTGAATGCAACGTTTTTTATTCTTTTTATTTTTTTTAAAAAAAAAAAGGTAAAAATAAAAGTTAGATTTCACTCTGGAATCTGGATTGAAATTTGAAACTAGATCAGATGGCAAAGGGATGGCAAATGGGCTCTACTTTGTCTAGTTTCAAAGGGTATAATGATATTTTGTACACACATAGGGCCATAGATGGCATCGAGTGTTTGGCTCTTTTATTTCCACAAAAATTATCATCATCAATAAAACTCCCAAAAATGATTCAGCAGGGAAAAGAATCCTATCTCACATTAAGCATGGGGTTCAACTTAAGGATCTCACAAACCTACGCCATTTAACTTGAGAAACCTTAGTAAATAAGATACTAAAACTAAACCCCACAAGTTATAGTTTAAAACCAACCAAATCATATAAAAAAGTTTTTTCAGCGTATCACATTGAGCATGAGTTCGTCCTTATTGTACATCCAAATAAAGGCTCCAACATAAGAACAAAAAATCTGGACTTCTGTCGAGCATAAGATGCAACTTCCACAACTCATCTCCGTTCACTTTCCATCATCAGTTCTCATGCCTGAAAACACGATGAACAGCTAATTTTCAACTTATTTTTCAACATAATTCATTACACACACCCCTAAGTATATTTATGACATCATCATCATCTTATTTTTCAACATAATTCATTAAACATACCCCTAAGTATATTTACGACATCAGCAACATGCACACGGCATGTACACACAATGCCTATAATTTCTTTTGCATTCATAATAATACATTCACCCACTCATCAGCAAAACTCATTCCCAGCCTATTTTAACAAATAATCAACACTCATATCTCACAAACTTGCATGCATATACCATAATGGATGAAAATATGCCCCAAAAGATCACCCGGCTTAACTTCAACTAATGCTGGAAATAAAAATTGTAAAAGAACTATATTGTCATGATACTTCCAATTTATAGAAACCCCTATAGAATAAATTTATGGTTTGCCCACATCTGAAAACTCGGAATACAAGTCACACAATCTCAAAATAGATAACCCACACTCCACAGGAATATTTATGAGTCAAGGCTAAAAAACAAATGAAGGAAATTTTTACAATACAAAAAACACTCCTATTGCTTAATTGAAAGAAAGAAAAAAAGTGATGAAGTAAATTGGTCTTGAGGGGATTCCCTTTTCGATTTGTCTTTGGCCGAAATGCTCAAACATGAAATGGGGAGTGAGTTTTCCCTATTTGGGCTTCGCTTCTAATTTTTGTTCACAAAGACACAAAGTATTGACCTATCATACTTATTTAACAAAAATGCATACTTATGCTATGAAATGTCATAACTTTGTTTATGCTATTTTATGAAATACCGCATTTCAATTTGAAAGTATGCTTATCCGTTGAAAAAGTATAGTTGTCTAGCCGTTAGATCTACCTAACAACACTCTTACTATTTTTTATAGAAACAATGAGGTCGTTTTGGAACCTGATTTATTAATTAATGAGAAGCCCAAAAGGCATCGTTCTGATTTCGGCCCACTGAAGAACAAAACAGACAAGTCCTAGACTTTTGCTATATGTACCTCTCTATCTAATAATACCTCCTTTTAAATTGATTTTACAGAAATACTTACTAGTTATAAAACCAGTTTTGTTTAAGTTCACTTGTCCCCTGCACCCACACCCTCCATTGTTCCTCTCCATCTACCCAGCACGTCAACTAAACTTTTGCCTTCTCTATTTGTTTGAACTCTTATCATTTGTTGATTTTTCAAAGTTTGATTAAACTCTATTTATTTGTCTTTTCACTCATTTTTTTTATCCTCAGCTTTCTGGTTATAACAAATTAAATTCATGGACGACAAAAAATTCTAAAATTTGCAAACAAAAAATTGAATAACACAAGAAAACTGTAATTTTTGCAAATATTATTTATCTATTTAGGGATGCTAAATTTAATTTCATGTTGTGGTGTGAGTTGCATGTCCTTTTTGTTCCATCATTGAGTGGTTTAAGAGATGATACAACAAAAGATGAAAAGAAAAAAAAAATCCTGAATGTGAAGAAGAAGATGAAAAGGGAGATAATTGAATAATAAGGGCATTTTGGGATGAAAATTTGAAACAACGTTAAAATAGAGGTAAATATCAAACGGTAATCCTTATCTTATCATCTTATTCCCTTCTCCTCGTCCATCTCCAATCTCTGCCATTTTTACACAAGAATTCTTAGGGAAATCAATATAAATTATAGTTCGAAGCAAAAAAATCCAACCTAGTCACAAGAATACTTGGGACTAAAGGCTATGTTGTTGTTGTTGTTGTAGGCAGCATATATGTGGATTTCTCACCGTACAATATGCTAATACTACATGTGCATGTACCTGACCTGTAGAGTGATATTTCATTTAGCTCTTGTACTTCATGGTTTCTTTCTCGAACCCGATAGTGGGGAATTGCTTGGCGTACTCCTCCACATCATGGCGAAGTTTTGCAATCTCAGACTGGAATGAAGCACTATTTTGCATTGTGGCCATAAAGTCCTTAAGCTTTGTTCCTGGAATAATATAAGAGAAGTTGAAAGGAATGAAACCCAACAGAGGATTTAATAGCTATGGAGCTATCAAGATGGGGGGAAATGTGACCTTTTGTCTCAGCCTTGATTTTCATAGCCAATTGTACAGCGGCATCAAAGAACTCGGCAACTTTGACGAAATCCTCCTCTATAAATCCTCTGGAAGTAAGAGCAGGGGTTCCTGGATTTTTGTGAAAAAAAAAAAATGGAAAAGAAAAAAAAAATTATCCTTTGGTATTTACAAATGCTAGCTTAGAGAATTGCTACCACTTCATCATGACCGTCTTTGCTGAATAAACGTGACCTTTAGCTTAGTACACTTTGCAAGTTAAAAACAAGTAACACTGTGTGGTTTTTGAAGCATAAAAAGGTAACTTGGTAATTGAATTCTTTTTTCTTTAGTTTTTAATTTACCCATTCTGATGCCACCAGGAACCATAGCAGATACATCTCCGGGCACAGTGTTCTTGTTGGCCGCAATATGAACAGATTCCAATACTTTCTCCACTCTAGAGCCATCAATACCCTATATAAGGTTAACTACGTTATCAAGTAGTCTTGTTTAATTTAACAAGAATCCCAAATACACAAGTTTTTTTTAAATTAATAAATTTAATGGAATTTGATGACAGTATCAAAGCAAGAATCAGAGGATTCCGGGCAATTAACCTAGAAAAAGTACATATTGTCTTCACACCCAATGTTTATCAAAGAATCATTTTATTTGCAACACATTGCGAAGAAAGAACAAAAGATTATACGCTTTTACCTTGTTTTTCAAATTTACCAGCACTAAATGGTTCTCAGTTCCACCAGAAACAAGTTCGTATCCTTTCTCAGCCAAAGTCTGCAGATTAAGAGTTTTCAGATTTTAATGCTTGATGATTGCATAGTGTACTTACGGATTTGGTTAAATCGAGTATACCTTGGCAAACTTTGAACTATTGCTCAAGACTTGTTCTTGATAAGCTTTATATTCTGGTGTAGTTGTCTGCATCCAGATATNAATGATGCATAAAACATGTACCTTGAGATATACTATTAACCAATTTAACTGAGATTGAAAAACCAAATAATTAAACTGGCCATATATACATCACGCAATTTAATTTAACAAGAAAAAACCTGTTGAGGAAAAAAATTACCCTGTCAAAGTTGCTACATATGATATGCCACAAAGATACTTACAAAACCAAAGTCTCAAATCAAGCCAAATCACACACACACTGACACACACACAGAGAGAGAGGCAGGCTGCCAACAAATGTGGGATTTTTGAGTGTTGCAGACCTGCTTTAATGCAACAGCCAATCCAGTGATTGTGTGATTGTGGGGTCCACCTTGAAGACCAGGAAACACGGCTTGATTAATCTTATCCTCATAGTCATACAACACCTTCCAAATAAACACGAGTGTTAAAATACACAAAAAATGGTCAAAGACAGTTAGGGGGAGAGAGCGAAAGAGAGACCCAGCCCGAGAATCATGTTTGTTTACCAAATAATTTACTCACATTTAATTCATACTCAAAATCTAACTCAACTTTAACTCAACCCCACTATCCTTAATATTATTCATATAATTAAATAATACAAACCAATTATTCTTACACATCACATCAACTTTAATTCACTATTCATCCACTCAGATAATTTTAGCTACCTATCATTTCCAATCACTTGTCTCCTACTTTTACATCAAATCAATATTAATCATTTTATTTAAATATTATTTTAATACATTCTTAAAATCCCACTAACAACTAACCGTACCACCTTTTTAAAAATTAACTCTAAGTTAACCAAAATAACTCATTTTGAATGGATTATTTGGTAAACAAGCATGCCCAAAAAACCCAACCTCTTTTCCTTGCTTGTTGATCTCCTTCACGCCCTTCCTGAAAAATATCATGGCTCCGCGGGGCCCACGAAGCGACTTGTGGGTTGTGGTCGTCACCACGTCCGCATATTCAAAGGGAGATGGGATGACGCCGGCCGCAACCAATCCACTGATATGCGCCATGTCAGCCAATAGTATTGCTTTTTGCTTGTCACAGACCTGCAATAGACACAGGAAAGGCACAATCTTTATTGTAAGGATTCCTTGATTGAAATCGCATATAGATGAGAAAGCATATACAGGCACAAGTTGCTTTTACCTTACGAATGCGTTCATAATCGTAAAGGCGAGCATAAGCACTTGCACCGGCAACGATTAGTTTTGGCCTGAAGAGTACAGCACTCTTTTCTAACTGCATAAAAAAGTCAAATTAGCATTGTCAGATATTATTGCCTTTTATTCCCACTTACCAAGTCCGAAGAGTTCAAACTAGTCATCGTAAACAACGATTGTAGGCTCTTCATTGGATATGCTCTGGAATTCTCCAACAAGAGAAGATATAAAATCAAAATTATTTAACCATAGTATGGAAATAAAGAAAATATGTCAGAAGAAATTAAAAAAGATTATCAATAGCACATACGAAAACGGTACCTGATCATAATCGATGTACCCGGTACTTTCGTTCAACCTGTATGGCATTGTCTCGAAGAAAATTGACACTGCAGATATCTTCTTTGTGTCAGTCTGTAAAAGTTAACAATGATACAAACACATTCTCAGAAAGCAACAACCGGAAGCAACTGATGTTAACTAAAAGTAAGTCTTAAAGATATTTCATAAACTAGTTTCATAAAAAGTTCCGTATCTAAACAATGACTAGGTAAGCAAGAAATATTGTTAAGGTTTGTGAAAATGACGATAATAATAATTAGTCAGGTCACACAGTGAAATCTGAGAGGGTACCTGATAACCATGAGAAAGATGGCCTCCGTGAGGAAGATCGAGGGCCATTATTCTCTCATGTGGTTTGAGCAAAGCAGTGTAAACCTGAAAGTTTGCAGGGGATCCTGACAGGGGCTGCACATTCACTGCATTAACGAAAATTGTAAACTATGAGACTCAAGCTTTAACAGTCACTCATTACTAATCCTTTCGAGCACAGATTTTCATGGCCTTTCCTTGAAATTTTTTTTATAGTATGGGACATCTTACCAGATTCAAATTCATTTTAGATGTTATTCTTTTACAAAATCCAACTGTGATAGGGAAATTAGGCAGAAGCTAAGATATAGTACAGAACGTATCCTTAAGACTAATTACATTCACAACAGGACAAATGAATAACACACCCTTTTGAAACACAAAGATCTCATCAATTTTTGTTTCCATATTTCAAAGTCCATTTCTCAGCTGGACAGTACACATTCAGGCAGATAAACACCTCAATGGGATTTCTGTGATTCTCGTTGACAATTATGCTAAATCTTCAGGTTTTGTTTTCCTTTTTCTTGTAATTTTCCACAGATCTATATGCATACGTTAGTAAAATTACCTCCCCACTTTTCAGGGTCCAACCGGAATGCTTCTAGAGCACGCTTTTGGCATAATGTTTCAGCCATATCAATGTATCTGAAATTGAATGCCAGGTGATGAGAAGCACACAGATGGAGTATAAAATCCAAAACAATACACAAACATTAATTAAGAACTGGAAAAACTATACATGAGGACTAACCACACAAACGATACAAGAAAAAAAATTGACGACTATTTGAAATTAAACTACTTACTCGTTTCCACCATAATATCTAGCACCAGGGTAGCCTTCACTGTACTTGTTAGTCATAACGGAGCCAACGGCTTGCATCACAGAAAGAGAAGTGAAATTCTCTGAGGGAATAAGTTCAAGTCCCTAAAACATACACAATACAATCAAACGCTATGTTTGAGAAATATTACAACCGTAGGGATGGTCTTTGCACGGCTATGAGCAATAAGAACACCAAAAAATTATGGCCAGGAAATTAAAACTGAATTTCGTCGGTCATTAAACTTTTATATGAATAAATAACAATTATCTATCTGATAAGCAACAAGAGAAAGCCTAAAGGATCAAAAGCAAAGCTGCGTGGTGTGAATTTTGCTGCATCTAGTATTCTGAAAATACATTTCAAAGAATATACACACCAGGATTATATTCACAAAGGAAGTACATGTGAAGGAGTATTAATTAACAAGTTATCAAAAATGATACAAAACAGGGTTGGAAAAGAAAATTTTAAGCTGACATAAAACACAGTTGAAAACTTCACCTTCCATTGTCTGGCCTTTTCGAGCTCGATAATATCAGCAATCTCGGGATCAACCACTTCCAGAGGAGAATTTAGTTGCTTTTGCCACTGAAAATTCAAATACGAACAATAGAATGTTTTATGAGCCTGATAAAAACATTCCAACAATTTACCAAAAAAAAAAAGTAGGCAAGTAGTGTTCACTTAGAACACGCAACAAATCTAACAGTTAACCAGCATACCGTGACATTAGATCTTTTTTTCTCGTACTCTGCTTGATCAGGCAAAGATGACTGCAAAATACAAAATTTAATTCGTACGAATCGATCTCGCCAAAATAATAATAATAATAATTTCCAAAAAAAAAAACAAAAAAAAAAAACAAATAGTAATGGACCATGTAATAAGTAGGGCCGCCATTGTTCAGACGCTTGATGGGCTTGTCAACAGATGAGTAAAGCCTCCGGGCAGCAATCGCCGATGCCATTTTCCGAAGAGAGAGAAACGCGGAACGAATTTCTTTGGGTTGGCTAAAAGTGTTCGAGTGTGGCGATATTCATCGAGATCCTAACCCTTTATTTTGTTTTCAGAAATTCTTACATTCGTGTCACTATTTCCTTTTTGGGTGGGGCATCATTTTGCAATGCTTAGATTTAGTGTTGTTTTCGGGTTTGGTGGCTAGTCTTGGGTTGGGTTGCGTCTTTTTCTCTCCGTTGTATAGATCTGTTGAAAATTTCAATATTCGTACTGCAATTGGAAAGTTATGGATTTTATTTGATTTATTACTTGATAAGTAAATTAAAATTTAAAAAATTTCACCAATGAAACTTTATATTTAATTTTAAGTATATATGAATTAAAATCTAATAATCTATATCTATCATTATATAAAAAGAATAACCTTTTTACAAATTTAGAAACTTTTTCCCGCCAAAATCATTAAATATATCCTAATATAGTAATTGTTGGACAAATCTGAATAGGCAAAAAAATCGGCTCATTTTTTTTAGTTTATCAAAATCGTTGTTTGACAATAAATATTTATTTTTTTTTTCCTATTTTTAGTATAAATCTACACGCTTATCTCTTCTGTTGCAAAATCTCATTGCATACGATCTCACATGTTTAAAAAATCTCATTCCTTATCTATACAGATTTATAAAGATAAAATAAAATAGAAATCAATTCATAATTACTACTAGAAATCCATTCTCTTTAAAAAGAAAAAATAAAATAAAATAGAAACCAATTCATAATTACTATTGAAAATTCAAAGCTAATTTTCAGCGGTCTAATTACTAATATTCTTACAAATATTATAAGCTAACCATACAAAAAAGTATAATAATAATTTTGAAATTGTGTGTAATCAAATTTTTTTATATTCTCTTATACAAAATAATTTTACATTGTTTGACCCCAAATCTTTAATTTATAATTATTAAGTATTGTTTATCCTCCTCTTTAATTTATAATTTTTTTTTGCTTCCTCTTTTTAAATAGGATTAATAGTAATTTCCACTTCCGTCATTAAGTAACTCAAACTCGAGGTCTATTTATAATATTGTAAATTTAATATTATTTCTGTGCATCGCACGGGGTATACACTAGTATATATAATAAGAATTAACATTTATAAAAAATAGTAGGTCAATTTATGGTCAAACGCAGGTCTGCATTAATTCTTTTCCATAAATGGCAGGTTTTAATTCCTTTTCACAAACTGCATTAATGACACATTAAGTACACCATTATCCCTTTTCACACACTCCTTTTCACACACTACATTGTACAATCACAAAAAGCGGCCTTATCCCGTTAATGCAGTCGTATTGTTTGAAATTTTAAAAAGTCTTTTTTTTTTAATATTGTTTGAAACAAATCCTCATGCCGCCTTATTGTTTGAATTTCTAAAAAGTCCTTTTTTTAATATTTTCCCTTCTCTCGATCCAACATTAATTACTTAGCCGTCCAAAAATTTTAGAATCTAATTTGAAACTAAAAAAAAAAAATCGGATGCATCCTAAAATAAATGATTATGTTCAATCTTCCATAATACAATCCTAAAATAGAGGATTTTGTTTAAGACTTACGCTGATTAACAATTCAGATTCTAATTTCAATACAAAAAAAGTCGGATGCATCCTAAAATAAAGAATTATTTTAATCCTCCAGAATAAAATTCATAATACAATCCTAAAATAAAGGATTTTGTTTAAGACTTACGCTGAAATACATTAAGAAAAAAAAAAGAAGAAGAAGAAGAAGAAGAAAAGGAAGGAGTTTAATTTTTAAAAGTGAAGGTTCAAAACCTATCGCCTCTGCCCCATTTTTTCGGCCGTCAATCTCAGCAGTAAACCTCCTCTACTTAAGTAAGGTTCAAAACTCAGCCGACCCTATTTTCCTATCGCCCCTCTCAGCAAAGCCGGAGCCCATTTCAAATCAACGCCCGAGAAACCGAGCATCTTTACCTCTTCCTTTTTCTGACGAGAGGTACTTAGGTTGAGCCTTGAGTTATCTCTTTTTTGGCCGAGTTTATGTTGAGAAAATTTAGAAAAAAGAAGTATATTTGTGGTTTTATTTCTCTGAATTGGGAAGTAAACTCAGCCAGTTATCTTATTGTTTATACGCTGTTTACATGTTGCGTTTTGAGTTAAGGATGAATGAAGGAAGTTTTATTTTGTATGTTAAAAAGCATTCATAGAATGTTATAGAAAGAGGAGCATGTATTACATTAATGTTGCCTTGATTTTTGAAAGGTATTGGCGTATTGTTGATACATGCTGAGCCTTAGTTTGGTGTTAGTATATGCTGCAAATACGGGACTTATGTTTGTAAATTTCAGTTAAAGAAGTAAAGTTAGGATGTTTAAAGGTTTAATAAGAACTAAGAAGGAAGAATTTTATGTTACATATGTTTGTAAATTTCAGTTAAAGGAGTAATGTTAGGATGTTTAAAGGTTTAATAAGAACTAAGAAGGAAGAATTTTATGTTGAGGCCTTGAATTAATTATTTTTCTGGGCGTGCTACTCAACCGTGCTATTGTTGAATTCATCTTGCCATTATGTTCAATTTCCAGAGGTTAAGCACCTACTGCATTCTATTTTCAGCAGTTTTTTAATTTATTTTTTAGATTATTCCAAAAAATCGATGCATCCTAAATTTATGGGTTTTGTTTATTTAATTTAGGTAAATTTCGACTGATCATTTTTTATTAAAAAACCGATTAACATAAAATCAAGAATTTCGAATTAGGAAAAATACTATCACATATATCTTTTTCCTAATTGCAACATATGATTTGTTTATTAAAAAAATCAGATTGCATATCAATCGGGTTAATTTAGGTAAAATTCGGCATTACAATTTTGTAAAAGTCAAAATTCTATAATTTTTATTTAAAAAAATATATTTACCATAAAATCGGAAATTTTGAATTAGGCAAATTGATAGCATGTGTCTTTACCTAATTGTAACAGATCGTGTTTATTTAAAAAAAAAAATCGAATTGCATAGAAAATGAGCTCAATTTCAAATTGAAAATTAAAATTTATAAATCCCTTATCATTGGCTACTACTTTCTTTAGTTTGTTTTTTTTAACCTAAAGCAGAATCAGATAATATTAATTTGAAATTCAAAATAAAATTAGATTGGAACATCTTAAAAACTTGGATTTTGTTTAATCCTCTAGAATACAAATTTGAAATTGATTGAATAAATGTACAAAATTTTTTCCTTCCTTAAATTAAGAATTTACAATTTTAATATAATAAGGCTATAGATTATTAAGAAAGACGCCTTACAAACTCCGTTATATTTGGCTATGCAATCTTCATAAAATCAGTATAAATCATATCATATAATATCCTGCTAAATAATTTAATGGATTTATTTAAGCCTATCTAGAATCCTAATATATATGGGTGTCAAGTGTTTATTTTCTTAGATATGGATTACACAGATGTAGGTTGTTTTCTGCTGGTGGAGTTTCAGCCTGAGTCTTTTACACTCGGGGGCGGTGGCCATTACCGTCAGATTTAGCCAAAATGCACATGGACATAGATAAAACGACACATAACACCATTAATTTGGATTTGTATTTGATTACATAACCTTTACGACCAGATTTATGTATCTGTTTTACGACCAAATAAATAATGTTCTGTACAAGAATGTGTTTAAAATATATAAGTTATATTTTGTTTATTTCAATACATGCGTTTTACATTCTTCTAATCATCCAATCATCAAAATCTAAATGCTTACGTTAATAAAATTAACCCGTGCATCGCACGGGTACCGCACTAGTTAAAGTTGATATGAAATAAAAGTAGCAAATAATTATTGGTAGTTAAAAATACGTGAATGGATGATATTATGCAATAATTATTGGATGATATTATTTAATTATATTAATAATATCGAGAAAATTTAATTGAATAAATTTTAAATTGAATTTTGAGTTAAAAGTCGTAGTTCCAACCAAAAAAATGTGCACGACGAGTCAAAACCAACAAAATTATATCCAATAATACTTAAGCATAATATCGAACTGAAGAAAAATAAAAAATCAATCATATCAAAGGGCGAAGACCACATCCTCTCTCTCTTCCCTGTAGCTTTTTCCCCAAATCGCAAAAACTCTCGCCGTCAATTTTCCCCAACTACGCCTCTCCATCGACGGGTACTCAGCAATCACGCGGCATCGACTAGCACAGGGTGGGCATCAGTCCTTCTGGCGCGTCGGTTCTTCCTCCGGCATGGATTTCCACCTTATCCGGGCAACCATGGCTGGGTTTGGAGTTGTTGGTTCTCACTGGCGAAGCCAGTGCTGTCGATGTGGGTCGCCGCCGCCAGCCAACTCTGAGGTTTGTGCTTCTCTCTCCCCTAACCGTCTTCTCTCCCCTGGTGTTGGATTGACGAGAGCTCCATCGAGGGTGCCTTGCAGCTTTGGTCATTTTTCGTGCGACTGTCATTAGTTGTATGGGCGAATGGGGTAGGCGCGGGCCTTCTGGTGTTGTCCTGTTGGTGCTACCTGTGTGAGGGAGCCAGACTGGTTCGGTTTAGTTACCCGTCGTTGAAGGGACTTTCTAGGTTGTAGCTAGATCCGTGCTTATG